GTATTTGCTTGGGTGTTTTTCGTTACGAATGTTTTATTGTGTTGCTTTTATTTTGTACGTCTGGCTACTTGTCACTGTACATTAGTTCAATTACCTGCTTTTGATTAACTATGTTAGTATTGTCCTCCCCTCTGCCCCCCCTACTTCAATGCCAAAAGGCGCTGTGGTTATTATAAATAAATGAATAAAAACAGATTAACAAAATAATTGCTAGGCAATGTACAGCAATCATCACATACAATTGAACTTGGATATACCGACATTGATAAGTTTCCTGAAAAATTGGTTATAAAAAGGATTTGGCTATATGCAGGTTCGGTACGAAAATTCGAAAAATAAGCGTGCATATTGAACAAAAGGGGGACTGAAGGCAAAGCTAGCCTAAAACACTTAATTTACAGTAAGAAACTGCATAATTATTGCAATAACAATTATTAACACTCTCGGCAGGGTTTTTACTGTCTTCGCCATGTTCCATAACAAGTCCAAACTGAAAACATGCCCCCGCGCATCGTAACTTTCATGAGCAGGTAAAAGCGCGCAAGGGCTGCTAAAGCAGAGATCAAATGAGTCGACCCATTCCTTTCGCTTGGAAAGTGCATAAGATAACATCTGCCGCATGTTAGAACTGCCGTCGAATGCTTAAACAGAAAGTAAGCCACCCGCCTTGAACAAGCATGAAATTACGCGGGGAGGGGGGGGGGATCGCTCGAGTAGCAATAATGAACTTAGATTTTTCGGGCGATCGGGATCGCTGCGCGCGCTTGCTTTCTTGGTGAGTGTCAGTGCGGTTTCAACGCAAAGGGACTGTGTTAAAAGAGCACTTCTCCCCGGAGCGGCCGTATTTGCTTACACCAGTGTTTTGTAGGAGTTCTGTGATATCAGATTCAAAAGAGTTGGCTGCCAGCCTCACTTCTTATAACATTACAATTTTTGCTATCGTGTTTATTGTATTGCATTCAACGCGCTGTCGTGTTGCTAGAACTAGTTACCTAATCGTTAAAGCTACCAGCTTGTGAACTCACGGCGCGGCACAAGACTGAAGCGCGTGACGAGTCGATCTCAGAAGATCTGTACTCACCGTGGTCTCTGAGAGTTTTCCTCAGCGCCTAATCTGACATCCCCTCGGTGGTGACGACACAGTTGTCCGAAACTTTAAAAATTCACAGTTTCGTTGCAAGGGCGAGACAATGAATGTGATAGCGACAACTTGAAATGAAGCACTGAGAACCACAAGCAAATCGAAGCGTTCAGCACGCTGCTCAGGCACAAATGACACACGAAAAATACACAGGACAAGAGCAAACTAACGTTCACCGCTCGACACTTAACACACTGTGGCAGTGACTATGGTGATGGGGCCCGTCAATGCAGTACTATCGTTAGAGTGAGGGAGCCTGTCAGTGTAGCGCAATCGTGACTACAGTGACGGGACCCATCAGCACAGTACTATCGTTAAACTGAGGGGGCCTGTCAGCGTAGTGTAATTGTGATTACGGGGACGGGACCGTCACCGTAGTGAAATAAAAAACAGTGACGCGTCATAGTAGCGATGCAACTATATTGACGGGCTTAGTCACCATAATGTAATGGTAAAAATGAGGGTGGGGGCATTCTCGTACATTTGTCACCGTTTTAGAAGCTATCGCTTATCTGCTGGGGTGGCACCGTGAGTTGACGTGCATTCGGGGATGCGATGATGCTGCAGGTCCTCAACTCGAATACCGCTTTGTTATTTTGTCATTTTTAAATTTTTTTATAGTAATATGCATCAATATTGATGTTACTGCTTTAAAAAGAGTTGTAATTTTGCTTTCTTGCCAGAAAATTACGCCGCTGTTTGTGCCGGTTGTTAGCCCTACTTCATTGAATTTTCGAGGCACAGTGGGTACATTGTTGGTGTGGAACATGATGCGTTGTTGCTGTCCGACTTCAGTTCGAGTCGCGCTGACCAACTGAACTTTTCTTTTTCTTTTGTGCTTTCAATATTGTTTCGAGTAATGTTGCTTATTTTAAAGGAAGCATCCTACAGTGAAGCCATGGGATGAGCAGCTGGTCAGCGAGAACCTCGATCAGCTCCTGGATCAGCTGGGTCGAGGTTCTCGCTGACAGACCCTACTCGCTGAGTGGCAGCTGCTGCAGGGTCCTGGTCTGAGCTCCTCCCAACGCGAAATCCACTGCACTACTGCAAGTGTAGGAAGTTTTCACTGCCACCAATAAAAGCATGTGCACCAGACATTACCACATCGAGGCAATTAATACGTGCCGTAATGATATAACTGTGAGGTGGCCCATTTTAAAAACGTTGCCTACAGTGACGGGCCTCAACATAGTGCAGGTGTTTTTGCTCCTACTGAAGTGATCGGAGAAGTTTTTATTTAATTTTCTTTACTGCTGCGCGAGGTGACTGCTTTCAAGCTCCTTACGGCTACCTTCCCTCATCTTAGGATACATTGATGCTGCTCGATGCACAATCATTCTTGCGTATTCCTTTCATCGACTTGGTCACCAGCCAGTACTTGCAAATTAAACCATCTACGGCTGCTCATGGCCCCGACTTCGGTGCACTATCAATTTAATGACCAAGAACTATACGGAACACGTTTTTCTACCACAGCACAAGTAATCTCAGGATATGGGAAGACAGCTATAGAGAGCGCACAACCGTGCAAGTATCTACAGCACCGTGTAGAGCTCGAATGTCTATCTACGTTTGCATAGCAATAGCACAGATTCATGGGACGAAAGCAACGTGCATATCCCCTTGTTCGAAGGAGCCGATTCGATCACATGGAAAGTCTGTGTGAGCGATTTCAGGTGAAGTAGGCCCGAAGTTGAAGCTACATGTATTGTAGTCATATGTATTGTGATTTTAGGACTTACTTAAACATACTGTCCAACTACACAGACCTCAGGGTTAAAACACACTCTATGTTGAGCTGCACAACGTTTGGCATCAGCCCATATGTCGCCTTAATACAGCGACACAAAAAATACGCCGAACGGATTGATTTGGGAATATCGTATTACGTGTAACGAATTATTAGTTGAAGCTGCGGCATCAATGCAAAGGAACAAAACCCCGCCGAGGTGGTTGTTCAATGAGATAATAAAGTTAATGTGCATGCATACAACAGAATCTGCTCGCCAAGCGCAGTATCAATCAGAAATCAAGGGAAAGGTCTTTATTCAACGCTCAACGTAAAAGAAAGGTCATAGTTATATCTCCGATGAATGAACACAATTATCATTTAAAAACAAAAATAATACTTGAAACAATCCCAAGAGAAGAAAATGAACAAGAGCGTAATTCGCACCGAAGTCAGACACTGCGCCACGAAATCCACATGGCAGGGCGGTCTAACAACTGCCGCAGACAGCAACACGATTTTCTTGCATCATTCGATACCATTCGAAAATGGGAATTCGAACTAATGATCTCGAAAACATTCGAAAATGGGAATTCGAGCTGACGACCTGCGTCACGACACCCCCACTTGCCTCAACTGCGCGTGAAGCCACTACGCCACCAGAACAGCTAGACGGTAGCGTCTAAAATGACTACAAATTCATGGCAATCGGCCCCCTCATTTTTACCATTACACCGCGCTGACAGGCCCTCTAACTGTAGTCATTGCTTTACTGATGATGGGGTCATTGCTATAGCTGCATCACTATTATGATGGGCCCCTTCACTGTTATGATTTCACCCCGTCACTATAATCACTGCCTTAAAAAAAAAAAACGAGGCACAAAATGTAATCACAAGTACAGATATGAGCGCGGACTAACAAGTGCCCCAGCTGTTACTTTGCTGTGTTTGAAAAGCGCACTCTTTTCACAAACGGCGCCTCACCAGCAAGCGAAGTGATCTTTATGCACCCAGAAACTAAACGCAATCGTTCTGATCAAATACAAAGGCACGCGATTCTCCCCATCGGAAAATAAGTGCGCATGCACAAGCATCTCACCCCCTCCCCCCCCCATTCGCGGGGCAAGGTACGCGTGGGAGATAAGCGCGCGTCGGTGCATCGTGACAAGCTAGATGCCCAGCACAGGCGACTTTTTTTTCTTTCTTTCTTGAGTTTTCATATATATAGATACGTATACACATAGGGTAAATGACGGCGGCGGCGGCGACGGCAAAAAACTAGTCGAGCCTGCTCATATAATCGGTATCGCAATAAATAAAAAAAGCAAACGTACGCACGCACAGCGGCAAAAACAAAAAGCGAATGACATGGACACAGGCATGGATACCGCGAAAAACTATTCGATATAGCACCCTCCATATAAAGCACGGCCCCACATATCTAATGCTAACTAAAGGCGTGGCACTGGCACGGCGCAAAAGTAGTTTTTTTTTTTTTTTGGAGTGGGAGGGGAGCACAGCGAACGACACGAACACAGACACCACGGAAATCTATTTAGTAAAGTGCCCTCCATATGCAGCGCTGCCCAATATCTTTGACACTAACGAAAAACGTGGCACTGCCAACACGCAATAGTAGATATTTTTCTTTGGTTTTTTTGTTTGTTTTTAGTGTGTGAGTGGAGGGGCACACACGCGCATGTGGCCACAGCGGCGAGAACGGCTGCAACACCGGCTTGTGACGTGCAGGCCCGCCTGCCCGCCTCGCGCTCACCCACACACAATAACGAGCGCTCACTCTCGCCTGGTGCGCCGTGCCCACCACTGCCGCTTCCCGCTTCATCGGCAACAAGGCAGCCGCGGAAAATGCATGCTCGAATCAAAATGCCAAAATGCGAAGTAAAATGCTTCGATTGTCCTTGAAGAAAATTCGTCATATCAAGGTTGTTTGCCGCTGTTATTTGTTACATAGAGGTCGCAAATACAATTGCTTCTATGCAGCAATGGCGGGGAATAGAAAAACTTCATTATATTGAGGAATTCATCATAAGCAGGTTTAGTTATACTGCTGCCTACTCAGATGCTCTTGTTAACCTCGTTCACGATGAACATAATTGCACAGCCTCACCGGTCATGTTTTTGGCCAGGCTGAGTGCAGTGCAAAGAGAGTTCCGCAACTTGTTCGGAATGACGTCAACATTGTCTTCATCCTCACACAACAAGGTACCGTGATCAACGTCCACCACCAGCACCTGCAAAATGATAAACACTAAAAATTAGCCTCAGTGGTTTCTTAAATGTCTATCGATTTCATTCACAAAAGCAAGACAACCTATTTTAGGTTACGTATGCCCATTTGTAAACTGCATGATGCCATAAACAACTTGCTATTCAAAACCCATGCCACTACTTCTCAATTCATACTTCTAGAATACGGTACGAAGGAAGGTATTCAATGTTGAGATCTTTTTACAGGTAAAGCTGTTATGAGATCATAACAAGAGTTGCCCTTGATGCCGTAGTTATTTGCCGCTGGTGTCTATATCTACAATCGTGCGAAATGAAAAAATCTAAATAGATAAAAATGCCAAGAACACATTGCGATTCCAACCCGGGCTCCCTGTCTACCAGCCCAGTATTCTACCACTGAGCTACGCCCTTGGTAGAATACTCCCATAGACAACAACTTTCGGCAAAGTTAGCACATCTTCGGTAACGTTGAAAGTTGGGCGAGTTGGTGGATTCACACTAAAAACAATGTTACATATCTATCCATTTCTTTAGGCGTGCAAACGCATGCCCAGAATAATTACAAGCCAGCTTAAATGACAATATGCAACTTAAGTAGACTGGTTCCAACTGGAAAGCTACTTCTAGTTTCAGAAAAGCTAGTCCCCCTAGTGGAAGCAAACGGTTCTAATTAAAATCCACCTGGAAAGCAACTGACCTAAGTTTCAGGCCAGCTGGTACTAGTGGCACAAGCAAATAATACCAATCATAAGCCACCTAGAAAGCAACTGGTCTTGGTTTCAAGCCAACTGGTACCAGTTGCGTGAGCAAAGGGTCCCAGTTATAAGCCACCTGAAAAAAATTACGGCATATTCACGGGGTGAATGATGATGAATGGGCGAAGCTCCGGAGGGATTCATCGGTAAACTGTGAATCTTCCGTGTAATTCGCCCAGTCGATCATCATGTAAAGACGTGAGAAACGCTGTGTGTGTATATACACAAATCAACTTTTATTTGTTCTTAGACGATGGATGGCTTGCGATGTCCCTTGCCTCGCGCGCTCGCACATCGGGATTCTGTCTGCGAGCGCGCGCTGCTGCCGCCTTGCGCTCTCTCCGCTGTGCAGCCTTATCCATCCGGCGACTCCGAGCGCGCGCCAACAGCGAACGGATTTTATTACAACGCTCCCCCTAGCGTACGTCGCCGCACTATAAATCGAACGATTGCCTTCAACCAATGACACGCGCCATATGTGACATCATTCCTATTTTATAAGATCTCGCGTCTTTCATCAACTACAAGTACCGCTTTCTAGTTTATAACATCTTGCATCTTTTCATCATCAGCTATAAGTACCACCATCTAGTAAACACTACAAGAACTAAACGAGAGGTGGCTACATACAGGAGACGGTACCGCCATCTAGTGAACACTGCAAGAACTAAACTAGAGGTGGCTACATACAGGCTACAGGGGACGCACAGCCCACGCCCTAAGGAGCTTCGCCCCTAAAACAACCAGGTCTAGTTTCAAACCAACTCGTCCTGACAAGGAAGCAAAAAGTGCTATCTGGTCCCAGTATTGAAAGCGAATGGTTCCAGTCACAAGCCACCTAGAAAGAAACTGGTCCTAGTTACAGGCCTACTGGTCCCAGCGATGCAAGCAAATGGTACCAGTTATAGGCCACCTGTATGGCACCTGGTTCCAGATCCATTTTAAATGGTCCCAGAAGTGGAAGCAATAGGTACCAGTTATAAGTCACCTGAAAAGCAACTTGTCCTATACACAGGCCAACTGGTTCCGACAGTGGAAGGAAATGGTTCATCACAATCAGTACACAAAAAGGACAAAAAATATAAGAAAGTGCCCAACACAAGCGCTGTTTAACAACTGAAAGTTTAATGAAAGAAACACGCAATATATATGCAAACATGAAGGCATAAAAAAAAACCTTGACACCCCCACCAAGCGCGTAATGAAGTATGCTGCAGATACGTAATCTCAGCATCTGTGAGAGCGATTGAAGGTTGGCTCATGCACCTGTCTCCTGCTTTTATGATTTCATACGCTTCAGCAATTTTACACCTGCGCTGGTCTCTATGCCTAATCAACACAGTGGTTTTGTTAAATTCAGCTGGGAAGTCGCAGTACCAGCAATGGAGGGCAAGATGCACGGAAGGTGTACCTTTCAGAAAGCTAGCATGCTCCCTTGGACGGGCGTTAAGGCAACATCCCGAGTGCCCAATGTACATGTACCCACATGACAAAGAGGTGGAGTATACCACTCCGCTTGCACAGTCAGTGTAACGCTTAGAGTGCTTTGCCACTGTCAAGTGGCAGGTCGCTTGACAGTGGCCTGCCATTGGTTCATTAAAAGTCACCTGTATAGCAACTGGTTGTAGTTTCAGTCCGAATAGTTCGAGACGTGAAAGCGAATGATTCACATTATAAACCACCTGAAAATCAACTCGTCTTATACTTGAAAATAGTATACTATGTGGGATTACACGCCCAAAAACCATGATATTATAACACAAAGGCAGTAGACACACGAGCGCAGAGGTGGTGTACTAACAACCAATATAATTGCTGCCCAAGCGGTGACAAAAGATGGCGTTTTCTCGTCCGAGCGAGCTTTCCCATGCTCTTTGCTGCAACATCACCCTACCAGCGGGTTTAGTTGCCTCCCAGTGCAAATCACAGAGCATCAGTTAATCTGGGTACATAAGGCTTGAATCTGGTGACGTGAACAATGTCACTGCTGACGGAGGTAGCAAAGACACGTCCGCTGGTGGGATCTCATACATACCATCATAAAGTTGGCGCAAGATCTTGTAGGGTCCAGAGTAAGGAGAAGGGAGTTTTTCCACCAAGCCGACACGAGGTAATGATGTCTAAAGGAAGACAAGAGAATCAGGAGAAAATTGTGTTTCTCGATGCTGATAGTCGTAGCGTCACTTTTGAGACGCTTTGCTTTCAGGCGATGACAAGCGACCTCTCTGGCATGGGCGGCAAAGGTAATTGCACTGCAGGCGTAATCAGTCGTTGAGAACTGTACGCCAGATGGTAGCAACGTGTCAAAGGACAAGACAGGACCATGGCCGTAAAAAAGACAGAATGGCGAAAATCCGGCAGTGTCATGACGAGACGAATCATAAGTAATGTAATGTATGGTAAGCCGGCATCCCAGTCACGGTGGTCATCAGAAACATACATGGCTAGCATACCAGTTAGAGTGCAGTTCAGGCACTCGGTGAGCTCATTTGCTTCGGGTGTTGTACGCGGTAGTATCTTGCGTTCCGTAGAACAGGAGTGGAGCAGGTCATGGACGGCCTTAGACAAGAAGTAACAGGCAACCATTCGTTAGCAGCTGTCGAGAGGCCCCGTGGTGCAGGATGACGTCTTGTAGTAGGAAGTCACATTTCACATTTATTTATTTTATTTTCTCCAAAACAGAAACAAGGGCAAAAAATGGGGAGACGGCAAAAGAAGCTGCAGTTATTGCAGCTTGACTAATCACCGTCCACTTTACGTCAGCAATGACAGGGTAAAAACGAAATACAATAAAATAAAATGAAATACAATAAAATGAAAACACAAATATCATAAAGCAAGAAACAATACAAGCAGAAGGCAAAGTAAATGACAGGCCAAGATATACAAACAAAAAGGAATATTTCATAAACACATGAGCACAGTAATTCACAGAATGTGTATCGTCGCTTTCGTACATAAGAAAGATACACATTGAGGTTACACACACAAAAAAAGGTACACAATAAATGATGCAAAGCAATGCACAGCGACCTAAGTAGACAATACAAATCTACAAAAAGTGTTTGCACATCAATATTGTTTAATGTGTCAATTTTTACGTCTTGCTGCTCGTATGAGTTCAGTATAGTAGGTAGCATGTGGCTAAGCCTTTGGGTGCCGTAATTGTGCGAGATAACGAAATTTTCCACGGGGGTTTATATCGATGGAAGTAAATGGTTTGTGTATGTTCAAGATTTTCAAGTGTCAGGAATGCATCGAGTTTTCATCTGTTCGCGCTAATATAGGATTTTAACAACTTGAATTTGTATATGTCATTTGCCCAATTTTATGTTTAACAAAGAGTTGTCCTGTGTGTTCAAGGTATGATATGTTTTCTATTGCCCTTATCGCTCTTTTCTGAAGTATTTTAAGCCTATTTATATTTGTTGACGTAGTGTTTGCCCGTACTAAATCGCAGTAGTTCAAGTGGGCATGGAAAAGAGCCTGATATAAGAGTCGCTTTACAGTAATGGGCAAAAGACGCCGACAACGATTTAGAGTGCCAACCACGCGTCTCAACTTTAAACTAATGTGGTCTGTATGCTCATTCCAGGACATATGTTCATTAAAAACTACTCCAAGTGTCTTCATGGATTTGGTTACTGCAATTTGGTAGGGGCCTAGGGTAACATAATTTGGTACATGCAGGGATATGCTGAGAGCTCGGAAAAGGACACATTTTGTTTTTGATTCATTTAATATCTGCAGCAATATCTGTAGCGCAGCTGGTCGTTATCGCTGGTGCAATGGCATATCTTGTTACATAATCTATTGTGACGGCGATCCACTTGTTCCCTTTGGTAGAAATAGAGAATGGGCCAAGTAGGTCGAGACCCACACGGAAGAATGGCTCTGTAGGGAATTCAATTGGCTGAAGCAAACCAGCAGGAGGTAAGGCAGGCATCTTCCGTCGCTGACAGAGGTCACAAGAAGCGACATAGTGATGCACAGAACGATAGAGACCAGGCCAGAAGAAGCGGCACCATGGGGTCGTAAGTGCGAGTGATGCTTATATGGCCAGCAGTGGGAGTGTCGTGAAGTTCCTGGAGCACGGCCAGTCGCAGGTGCTTGGGAACAACTACAAATAACTCAGGAGCATAGGACTGAACGTTGCAGCGGCATAAAATGCCTTCATGCAATGTGAACATTTGGAGTGAAGAATCGGTGAATGCGCAGTTTAGGCGGTGCATAATGTTTCGAAGAAC